TGGAGGTGGAGGTGGAGATGGAGATGGAGATGGAGATGGAGATGGAGATGGAGATGGAGATGGAGATGGAGATGGAGATGGAGGTGGAGTAGTGGAGGTAGAGATGGTGGAGGTGGTGGAGGTGGTAGAGATGGAAATGGAGATGGAGGTGGAGGTGGAGATGGAGAGGTAGAGGTGGAGGTGGAGATGGTGGAGATGGAGATGATGGAGATGGAGATGGAGATGGTGGAGATGGAGGCGCGGCTGGGGAGGATGGAGGAGCAGCTGGACACGGTGGGAGGAGGTGGAGATCTGAGGAGCGTCAGCCGACAGCTCTGCAGGCTGCAGGTGAGGTGGAGATGATGGAGATGGAGGTGGAGGTGGAGATGATGGAGATGAGGTGGAGGTGGAGAATGAGATGGAGGAGGAGGTGGAGATGGAGATAGTGGAGGTGGAGATGGAGGTGGAGTAGTAGAGATGGAGATGGAGACGAGACGGAGATGGAGGTGGAGGTGGAGATGGAGGTGGAGATGGAGGTGGAGATGGAGGTGGAGATGGTGGAGATAGAGATGGTGTAGATGGAGATAGATGTTGGAGATGGAGATTGAAAATGAGATAGAGGTGGACATGGACGTGGAGGTGGAGGTGGAGATGGAGATGGGGTGGAGATAGAGATGGAGATGGGGGGGAGTGGTGGAGGTAGAGATGGTGGAGATGAGATGGAGGTGGTGGAGATGGAAGTGGAGGTGGAGGTGGAGGTGGAGATGGAGATGGAAGTGGAGGTGGAGGTGGAGATGGAGATGGTGGAGATAGAGATGGTGGAGATGGAGATAGATGTTGGAGATGGAGGTGGAAAATGAGAAGGAGATGGACATGGAAATGGAGATGGAGATGGAGATGATGGAGATGGAGATGATGGAGATGGAGATGGAGATGGAGATGGAGGTGGTGGAGATGGAGGTGCGGCTGGGGAGGATGGAGGAGCAGCTGGACACGGTCGGTGGAGGTGGAGATCTGAGGAGCATCAGCCGACAGCTCTGCAGGCTGCAGGTGAGGTGGAGGTGGAGATGGAGATGGAGATGGAGATTGTGGAGATGGTGGAGATGAGGTGGAGGTGGAGGTGGAGGTGGAGGTGGAGGTGGAGGTGGAGAGGGAGATGGAGATGGAGAGGGAGGTGGAGGTGGAGATGGTGGAGACGGAGATGGAAAATGAGATGGAGGTGGAGATGATGGAGATGGAGATGGAGATGGTGGAGATGGAGATGGAAAATGAGATGGAGATGGAGATGATGGAGGTGAGGTGGAGATGGAGATGGAGGTGGAGGTGATGGAGATGAGGTGGAGGTGGAGGTGGAGGTGGAGAAGGAGGTTGAGGTGGAGATGGAGATGGAGTTGGTGGAGATGGAAAAGGGATGATGGAGATGGAGGTGGAGATGGAGAGGTGGAGGTGGAGTGGTGGAGATGGAGATGGAGGTGGAGATGGAGATGGACACAGAGATGGGGATGGAGATGGAGGTGGAGGTGGAGATGATGTAGATGGAGGTGGAGATGGAGGTGGAGGTGGAGATGATGGAGATGGGGTGGAGATGGAGGTGGAGGTGGAGATGATGGAGATGGGGTGGAGATGGAGATAATGGAGGTGGAAATGGAGACGGAGATGGTGGAGATGGAGCTGGAGCTGGAGATGGGGTGGCGGTCGGGTGGAGGCGGACACCAAGTTCTGGTGGACACCAAATTACAGACAGACACCAATTTTTTTGACCACCCCACCACACGTCCACCCCCTTTTTTAATTTTTTATTTTTTTATTTAATTTTATTTTTTTTGGGTGCCCCCGTCGGCCGCAGAGCATGGAGACGCAGGTGGAGGAGTGGTACAAGGAGGTGGGCGAGCTGCAGGCGCAGGCGGCCGCGCTGCCGGACAGAGCGGCCGGCCGCGACGCCGTGGAGGAGCGGCAGAGCGCGGTGGGCACCCGGATCGTGCGGCTCATCGAGCCGCTCAAGGAGCGGAGGAGGATCCTGCTGGCCTCCAAGGAGCTCCACCAGGTCAGCCACGAGCTGGAGGATGAGGTGGTGAGTATGGCGTGGAGGTGG